GGGTTGGGGGGTGGGAGGGGGGAGAAGGGGCCCGTTTCACACTCAATAGGGCGATGTCGGAGCGTCGCTCACCAGGTGTGACGAAATTCAAGGGAATCGGAATAGGTTGCTTGTGTTGCTGCCGTGCCTGAAGATGGCGGTGCTGGTGCGGCTTTTTGTTGTGTGTTCAATCCCACGAGCCTGGACGGCTCCAGGTGCGGGAGACCGCGGGACGACGTAACAACCCTGCTATACCCCAGTTGGCTGAGGGCGGCGCTGGATTGCTTGCCGGCCGCGCCATGTATATATAGGCGGCTTGCATGAGCAGCATCAGGGTTGGCAAGCGCAGTGCTGAAGATTGCGTGTGCAGGAAGCCAGATCACGCCCCCAGTTGAGGCGTGCGCATCACCCCTTGCCCCATCGGAGCGCGTTACATGCAGCTTGGATGCGCACTGCTGCGTGCGCCACGCATTGCCGGGTGCGGCCAGGGCTGTTGCGCCGCCTCGAGCCAACCCAGCACCCAGCGGGACCCCTGTACGGGGCACCTCAGGCGCGTGCGCCGCACCTGCTTGTGCACCCACTCCCGGGCGCCGCGGGCCTGGTCTGGCAGCTCCTCAGCCAGCAGGGCCAGGTTGAGCCTGTGGCAGAATCGGGGCCGCTGTACAGCCGGACGAGCTGATCCAGGGAGCTGCGGCGCAACAAAGAGGGAGCGCGCGTGCGTGCAAGGGCGGGAGTCGGTCTGGTGCAGCGCTGCGCGCTGATCAGGTGGACAAACAAACAGCCATGGGCGCGACAGAGGTTGTACCTGCCGGTGTGCACCCGCAGCCGCGCGCATGTCTGGGTGCCCACAGGGGATGTCCATGGCAAATCATCTTTTCATGATTCGCGATGAGGCATAAGCATGAAGCGCTTGCCACGAGGGTCTCAGCCCAATTGACAGCCGCTGATTTGAGGATTTTGCTGCAGGAGCCTCCTGACAGGTTCAACCCACAACTGGTTCGCGTCCCAACCAACCATCACGCCTGTCCTCTGGAGCCCGGAGGCGGTCAACACCAATGTATGGTGACCCCACATCCTCTGCGTCACCCCCTCACCTGCGTCGCCGCTGCTGCTCGGCTGGGCTGTCGCGCGCCGCCGGCATCGTATGACCAGCGGCATCCTTGGCAGGCCTTGTGCATGTCAGTCAGCTATCTTTGTTGGAGTGAACGAATGGTTGATGCATAGCGCTCGTATGTTACATGCTACTAGAAGACTCAACATCGACGCTCTCCGACCCCCATCTGCGCACTATGCTTCACGCAGAGTTCAACGCCCGCTGCCGCCCGCCAGCCTCGCAGACCAGGCGGCAAACGCGCCTCAACGCCCGCCGCACCGGAGACCCCCAAGCCGAGCACGCCACGCGGGATGCGAACGCCGCCACCACCTCGGCCGCGGGCGACCCATACGGCGTCCCAAGAACAAACAACATCGACACGGCACAACAGCCTGGGCTTGAACCAGGGATACATGGAGGGATGGCGCATGCTTTCGACACATCTCCGCACAGGCTGCCTGCTCAGCTGCAGAAGTTGCAGCACACCGCCTGGGCTGCCCTGACTTGGCCAGGCGTTATGGTGCAGCATATCCCCTGCAAACCCCTCCAGCCCCCACCTGGCGCCCGCCGCCTGCAGCAGCGCGGTTGCCGCCGTCGCCAAGCACCTTGCACAATGGCCATTGCCATTGCGGTGGACGGCAGTGCTCGTGCCAACACCAGCGCCGGCGCCGCCGCTCCACACGACCGCGCCCCCATCCAATCGGCGCGCTCCTGAGCTCGCCCACCCACTGCCTCAGCGCCGAGAGCTGCCTCCTCAAGGCCCCGCACCATCGGCAATGGTCGGCTGCTGTGACCGACCTGATGGGCAGGTTCACCCATGAGGTTGCCAAGTGTTGTCTGTATGGGGAGCTGGGGAGCTCGTGGAATCAGCTTCACTCTCGAATGGAACCAAGTTTGCCCAATCAATGGCGGGTATTGCCCAAGAAACAGCTGCCCCGCCACGCATACCAGGCTGCCTGCCACCGAACGAGACGGCACACCTCGACACATCCTGTTCCAGATAGATGCACCTGCCCCATCCCACACCGCCCCCGCTCTCAGTCATTCACCCCTGGCAGCAGGTGCGACACAGTGATCTTGGGCCCAGATGAATGCCAAAGGCCCTCTGCAGCACCATCCACACTGCCAGCGGTGGAGATACAGGAGCCCGCCACCGCCCGCTGTCGCCTGTGTGGCATCGGATTGGAGCGCACATGTGCGGCGTCGAACGCACGGTTGGCGCCGCCCAACAAATCTGACACCAGTTGGCCCGCGCGCGCCTGAGTGACGGTTGCAATCACAGCGGCTGTGTATGGGGACACTCATTGCTGGACTTGGCAGTGTAGTAGTGTGGGCGGCGCTGTGATTGCGACGTGCTCAGGCCCGTTCCGCGCTGGGGGCGGAGTGCGGTGCGGCAAGAGCAGAGCCCACACGGGCGGAGCGCGGTGCGGCAAGCACACACCTGGTGCTGCCGAATCGCAGCAGCGCGCACCGGCTATCAGGTCCTTCACTATGCTGCTCGCGCCTTGTCCCCTGTGAACGCCTCAGGCTCCTTGTCCCCATCTCATTATTGCCTGGTCCCTTGACGCCTCTATCTTATCCCCTTCGGCGCTTGCCTGCGCTCGTCGGCGACCTTAGTTTGCGATTGTGCCTCTGATACCGGGGCCTCACATCCGCCACTCTGGCTGCTGATCGCCGGGGCGATGATCTCGGCTGGTGATCGCTCCAGGAAACTTCACAACCAATTGTGATCAATTGTGGAGCCAAAGCAGCGTCGGTTACGGCGGTGTAGGCCTGCAACACGAGTTCAAGCGCCACACCAGCAGTCCAGCACTTGAGTCATGCAGCCGCATCCGCGAAGCTGCCCAGATGCATTGTCGCCGTCAACTCGCGTTGCGATGGGAACTCTGGCTGCGCCCACACGACAGGTTACTGGCCTCGCTGCGCAACAATCTCAAACCAATTGTACCGAAAAGGATCCCTGGACATGCGCACAGCGGACGCGGCGGCCCTCCAGACCAAGATGGAGCATGAAGTGGCGCTTGGCCGGTGCGTACTGTTGTATATGTACGCTTCAGGCGCCGGCTGGTGTGCAACGGGCGCAGGGGCGAGTGCGTGTATGGCAAGCTGCCGAGTGACACGGTGAACAGACTATGCGCATGATTTTATCCAAGTGCCGCATCACAACAACAACGCATGACACTATTGGGGGCGCAATGATACATCAAGAACCTCTGCTGAAAGTGGGACAGCAGTTGTTGGACCGCACAAGTTGTTCAGTGGATAGCGCACAGAGATCTACACAGCAGGCCAGTCCAGTCCACCAGCGGCTTCCGAGCACATGCGTGCAGCAGGGCCTGGCGTGTCTTTGTGCAACAGAGTGTAAAAGCCCAACAGACAGCCGCGCATACGTGTGCAGATCGATCCAGCAGGCTGCACCGGCTTGCAGCTGTAAGAGTGCTATGCTGCATGCTTCCTGGGACGTGATTATGGCATTGCCATCCATTCATGGTATTAGAAAGCGATGCACAAAACAGGGTAGAGTTCCTCACATGTGGGGGCATTGGTGGGGTTTATTGGGGTGCTGCTTCCTATCCAATTGGAAGTACTAAAGAAAGATACCCCAATACTGCCAAAGTCTGTAAGACCGGCACTACTGGTGAACCCAAGGCACGAGGCTGCTGCGGCCACTACTCCGGTTGGCTGACTGCCAGACCAAAAAGCACCGCGAACCGCAAACACACCTGCATCGTCCAAGGTCAGCAAGAGGCCTCCCAGCATGCTTGTGAAGTTGCGAGCCAACACGACGCCGCTCGCCTCGATTGCCAAGCCGCTGGGGACACCGTACTTTGTAGGGAAATCGGCAATTTGGTCGGTTGCCGATGTCGATAGGAACGCGTGCACCTGGGTGAGCCCCGCCGGCCGGTTGATGGAGGCACTGCACAAGGCGTCAGCACCAGACCGGCCACCAAGGTTTCCGTTCCTTTCTGTCGAAGATTCACGGTAGATCACCACCCGCGAGCGCAGGTACTGTGCGGCAGGCACGCCCCCCAGACTGACTGCGTTGATGTTGGCCAGGTCTGCAGTTTTCGCGTAGACACTCAAGTCAATGGCAGACACATTGGCTACGGTGGCTGCCAGTGAGGCGAGGCTGGTGTTGACCGACGCGATGGCTGCCGCGCCTATGGTAACTGTGGCATTCAGAGACTCCACGGTGGTTTTGGCCAGCGAGACTGCCGCCGCGTCCGCTGCCTGGGCTGCCTTGATGGCGGCCAAGGAGGTGTTGACGGCCGAAAGCTCAAGGCCGCAGGCGCACTGCTGCGACGCAGACTTGAGCGCCGCGATGTCCTGGGCCGCGGTCTGGTTTGCCGCCTCCAGCAGGGCCAGTTGCTGAGCGGTGCGTGAGTCGGCCGCTGCAAGGACGGCGAGCTCTTGAGTGATGTTGCCCAGGTTGGTTGCGTTGGCTGCGTTTGCTTGCAGCTTTTGCACGCCAGCGGTGAGCGCCGCAATCGTCGCTTTGAGCTCGTCCACCTGGGCGCGCAGCACGGCTGTCTGGTTGCTCCCCTGGACAAAGGTGTCCTGCAAAGAGCTGGCCTGGGCGGCGGCGGCGGTGACCTTGGGCTCGAGAGCTGCCAGGTCACTGGACACTTTGTTAACCTGTGCGGCAGTCGCCACACCACAGCCGTAGCGCAGCTTGGTGGGGTCCTGCGGGAATGGAAATGTGCCGGTTGTTCCAAGCGCAAAGCAACCGGCGCGGTGATCAGGACATGCTTGCAACATGTTAATGGGCACGTTGTCCAGAGGAAGGGCTGGAGGGGCTGCATGTGCTCTCACCCCACAAACAACCGAGCAAGTCACCACTGCATTGCCGCATGTGTTTGCTGCCACACCCACACCAGCACGCACCAGACACCTGCCCATGCACAAGAGTTTTTTTTCCCGCATGCGTTGTTCTCTGTGTGCGTGCGTGCGTGTGAGGGCACGCACCTTGCTGTCGGCCGTAGCGTTGGCGGGTGCCAGCAGCTCGCTGCACAGCTGGTCCATGAGGGCGGTGGGGCCGGCCTTGGAGGAGCACGACTTGACCAAAGCCTTGACAGGCGCGCACTGAATGGGGACGTGCAAGGAGTGCAGAGTTAGTTCATGCATGACTGCAGGATGCTGGCTTCGCGTGCGAAAGCGAGACACAAATACAGCAAAGTGCAGGCGGGCTTTTTCCATCTTCCCGAGGTAAGGCGCCTACATGCATGGCCGCCACGCTGGGGCAACCAAGCTAAGCAACACGCTGGTGCGCGCCCAGGTCTTGTTTCAACCCAACCTTGCACTCAGGTGTCACTCACCACTGCCAGCTTCTGCTTTTTGGGGGTCGCCTGAGGGCTGCAGGGGACACGCCAAGAGGGCGGGAGCAGCGGGAGGACGACAGTGTGGTTCAGCATGCACATGAATGCATCCGCCGCGTCGACAGCCAACATGCAGGGATTCATGGGCATAAACGGAACATCGCAAACATAGGCACATCAGCTGGGGTGGCTGCGATAAGCTCGCAGTGGGTGTCATCAGTCGTCAGGCTGATGTGGGGGACACCTCCAAGTTCACGGGGTGGGTCCTGCCGGCACACATGGCAGCATTTCTTTCCTATTGACGGGTTGTGCGCCGCACGTGTCTGGAGCGCGCTCCGATCAGGACACCCCCAGCCACACAAGCCTGCCAGCGCACCTGACGCACATGACCACGCCCAGCATGTTGCAAAAAAGCAGCAGTACAGCCGCCAAAGGCATGAGCGATCTCGTTGTACACCGCATGCTGGGATTGGCGACGTCAACGGGAAGTTACGACTTCAGCGCTGATGTTTCGAGCAAAGGATATATTTCTCCGTGTCAGTGGAGGTGTAAGTCACGTCCACCGTATCTCTGATTGCCGCACACTTGCCACTGCGCCTGGTGAGGCGGTGACTGTGAGTGAGCTGAGTGAGGCCGACAAAAACGCACGAATCCAAGGTAGTTGAGGTATCTGTGTGACTCATGCCACCTGGGATACGTCTCGTGTGAGACCCATTTCGCGGGTACGATTCCACTACGATTAGTGTTAAAGCGTCACGCCATGTGCAGAGATCATGCCCGTTTTACTCATCAGCGTGCGAACTAGGGCGGCCCAGCTCGGATGAACACTCGTCGGAACTTGCAGGCTCACGAACACACGATGGACACACGTGGGGACTTGCAGGGTTCCGGTGCGCTTGGGCCACCACCGTAGTAACGCCCTGGTTCTTGAGATGATCAAGCGCAGTGTGTTGTGTCCCTCAAACCCACAGCCGCAGTGCCTGAGCCTTCCAGTCAGGGCGAAGAGCAACATTTTGTGTGGTGATGGGGTTTTGATTGCGCAATGCCGCTGCGATAGGGTTGGGATGCCGACAACTGGAGATGATCAAGCGCAGTGTGTTGCGTCCCTCAAACCCACAGCCGCAGTGCCTGAGCCTTCCAGTCAGGGCAAAGAGCAACATTTTGTGTGGTGATAGGGTTCTGATTCGCGCAATGCCGCTGCGACAGGGTTGGGGTGCCAAAAACTACACAGTTTGCATGGCGATGACACCCCGATTACTGATGATGGGGTTGCACATTACACCAGTGCCGTCTTGCCATGTGTGTCTGCTGGAAGCAAGGATAACAATTGAAGCATTGTTGCACATGAGTGTGCAGGTACCAGAAAGCGTCAGCTGGCAGCGAGGCATTGAGTGGGTGCTGCTCCGAGCACCTCTCCTCCAGCGCGTCGATGGGACACGACCGGGGGTGGGGCAGGGGCGTCAGCAGGCGAGGACGATGGGGGCGATGAGGAGGCTTGCGCAGAGGACAGCAGCGAGGAAGATGGGGGAGGACCTGATGAGTACGAGCAGGTGCGCTCGCCGCGGCCATACGCGTACTGTATGGGGATCCCAGGGTGTGCTGTGCTGTTGATGCATGCGTGGCCAGCAGGATGGAGGGCACGATGATTGCGGCGCAGCTGGCCCTGCCATGCATGTACGGCTCTGAGCCTCCCCATACACAGCTTTCTCAAGCGCAAACCTGTCTTCGAAGCGCCCACCATGCGGCGCGCAGCGCGCAAGCCGAGCTCGGCTCACGCAATCGGGCCGGGCAGCCTGCCCCGCTTTCACAGCTCACGGCACCTTGCGCCCAGCTCAACCTCGGCATCCCCACTCGTGCATTGAGTACCGCATAAACGGACGGCACTAGCACAGCAGTAATCCCTGCCGCTCTCCCCCACACAAAGGACGACTTCCTGGTGGGAGAGGACGAGGAGTCGGGCGGCGGCGACGACGGCGCCGGCGGCGCGCCGGGCGCCGGCGGCAAGCGCAAGAAGCGCAAGCGGCGCAAGAGCGCGCGCGAGTACCCGGTGGATGAGGAGGACTACGACCTGCTGGAGGACAACCAGGTCATGGTGAGTTGTGATAACGTCACGGGCGGGGCATCAGCAGGGGCACGATTGCGATGTTTGTTGGGGCTGGCCGCTGCATTGGTGGTGCGGTGTGGGGCTGCAGCCTCGGCGGGACCTAGCAGAGGACGCGGCCGGACAGCAGTCAGCTTGAGGTGCGCTGGGCCTAGTAGTGGCGGCTGCTGCCCCGCAGTGCAGCTGCAGCATGTGTGTGGCGTGCGAGCTGGGTTGAAGCGATGAGGTCAACAGCCGGGATGAATTCGCAAAGGGCCCCGGCAGGCCCTGCCGGCCGGGCCTGCCGCGTTGCACGTGCTGTCCTCCTTCCCCTCCGCATTCCCTCCCCAGGCCCGCCGACCGGTGCAGCATAGCAAGCGCCTGAAACGGCGCGGCGACGAGCCGTGGCGTGTCATGGGGGCGCAGCAGCTCAAGGAGAGCCTCTTCGGCGCCGGGGGTGAGGGGCCGCCGCCGCGCACTGCACTGCTCCACCACGGCC